GGGTTGGGGGTGGGGGTGAGGTTGGGGTTGAACATGGGGATGAATTTCCTCATGTGCCCATGCAAATTTGCTTGAAGCAAAGATAGTGAAAATTATGGCAACGAAAAGTATAGTTGTCATCTTGATATTAGCCATTATTTCTTTTAATTTCCCTTTGTTTTTTCTTGTTGGTTTTGTTTTTATGAGAAAGTTAAAAGGGAAATAAAAGAGAATATGAGAATGAAAGGGAAGAGGGTGGATTTTATAGATGGGAAAATGATAATTTTAGTGGATGTCCATGAAAACTAAGGTAGGAGAAGGGATGTCCATCAAAAGTCTAATGTGGTCAAGAGAGAAATAAGGGAGGAAACAAGTGAAACTAGAAACTTTTTATGAGTTTTAGTTTAGAGAGGATTTAGGCGGAAGAAAGCATTCTGGCTAACAAGGGTTGCAGTTAAACTATATACAAACAGCTTAAAAAAATACTTATAGAATCAAGTCATTTAATAATGTAATTACAGTTAAATTTCAAATACTTATAGAATCAAGTCATTTAATAATGTAATTACAGTTAAATTTCAAAAAATAAATATTTATAGGCAACATGATAAAAATGGTAATTTGACCTGATCGTAGGTTAAAACAAAAAAATTTATACGATCACTATGTATACTTAATCCATTTTTGACCTATTAGGGTTTAAATTGTTTATGTCTTTTTCTAATTTATTGTTTCAAATAATGGAAAACAACTTTTTTCATAGCTGATATTCAATTTGCTTTAAGATATTCCCTTAGTCTAAAAAGGATTGCAACATTTTGACATTTTTGAGTCTCTAAAGTTTTTAGAAGTAGTTCTTTTTTATTGAATGTAACATAAATAACAACTTATAAATGACGTTTTTGAGTCTCTGAAATTGCTTTAGGCAAATCACAAATATATTTATAGCGTCAAATCACTTTTTTTTTAAAAACATGAAGCTACAACTTCTGCACTCAAGAACATCTAAATATCTTGTTTAATAACATCTACAACTTTTGCTGAAATTCCATATCAGAACAAGACTACACAAATAATAGTTGATGTATCAACAAACAAAGATTATCTCAGTTCTGCTACTGATGATGATTCTACCTCTGATCTTGAGGAAAAGTATAGGTAAGGCTTGGGAGGTATTTGCAAAGAGTAGTCTTGGTTCCCTTCTAACATTTCCACAACTTTGCTCATCGATGGTCGATTCAAGGGATCAGTTTGTATGCACCATAAACTCATTATCACCATCTTTTTTGCACATTCTTTCTCCTCTTCGTTCGTTATCCCGATTAGTTGAAGCTCTTCGTCTAGTTCAATTCGTCGATAGAGCCAGTGTGGAAAGTAGATTTCACTTGTGTGATCAACTCCAACATCAACATTTTTTCTTCCTCCAACCATCTCTAGGACCATCATTCCGTAGCTATAGACATCAGACTTGTGAGAGACACCTCCCAAGTTTCTGCAAACTATTTCTGGAGCTATATAACCGATAGTCCCTCGTGCACCTAGTATTGACACAACTAGGCTGAGATGGTACGGGCATGTGAAGAGGAGGAGCATAGATGCCCCGATGAGGATATGCGAGAGGTTAGCCATAGGAGGTTGAGAAGAGGTAGAAGTAGGCCTAAGAAGTCTTGGGAAGATGTGATTAGGCAGGACATGACGCAACTCAAGCTTACTGAGGACATGACCCTTGATAGAAGGGCCTGGAGGTTGGGGATTAGGGTTGAAGATCAGTCTATAGGCGAGCGTGTTTCCTTTTCATGCTGGTTGCATTAGTATTAGTCTGGTATGTCCATATCTGCTTGTCTACTTTATTTCTTTTACTAGTTGTTGGTTCGTTTGCTTCGATTACTCTATCTGCGTATCACTTTATCACCTATCTCGTTGTTGTTCCAATTGTTATTTCTGCGTCTTTTTTTTTAGCCGGGGGTCTATTTGAAGCGGCCTCTCTACCCTTCCCAGACTTTACTACATGGTATTACATGGAGTTCGTTGTTATTGTTATCTTTGCTATTGAAGAAATAAAACTATATAGGGTAAAATCATGTGATGGACAACAAAAAAATTGTAGATAAATGATATAGATAAGTACCTGCAACAATCACTTTCATTTTTATATTTCCTGCAACTGTAGTAAACAATGCAAATGTAAGCTGAACCGAGGTTTATAAAACAGAACCAAAATCTTTAATGTGAACCATGACAAAAGTTCTTTTACCTTTGGTATTATAACAAAGAAATTTGTCAGTAGTATTATCAGTTTGACACTTCCCTCCTCTATAATAACACTGATTGCATTCATCAGACACAGTCCATCCTAGTGTAACTTCATCAGTTAACAGATCAAATAAGACATTTGATTCAGCTTCTGAACTCGACGACTTGGGCAACTGAACGAATGAACAGCCAGTAGGAAGAGGAAAACCGTGAAAATAATTGATTGTTTGGTTATAGTATAATATGAAACTTTCACAGCTATTGTAACTTTGATAACTTGTGGAATTGAAAACATCTTCATGTATCTTCTGGCTATTATTGCATTTGAACAAAGTGAGAAAGGGGTTGACTCTATATGTTATTGAAGGAGAAATTGGTAAAGACAGATTTCTATCAAAAGATTGACAACTCTTGTTTTGCAAAAGATTTCCAAGAATAATGTCCTTAATTTTGATGAAAAATTCCTGTTTCTCAAGAGCTTGATATTTCACTCCATCCAATTCAATTATGGGATTTGGAGGAGCTTCACAATCCACTTTACACAAACCACAATCAAGTTGTGTGGATTTGTAGAAAGGAAAGCTCAAATTTCCTAAGTTTCCACATTGGAATTTTTTAGTGCAACTTGAGGAGGATGTGTTCTGTCCTTGAGCTGAATCAAAGCACCAAAAATGAAAGAAAATGGAAATAAAAAACCAAGAAACTAATTCCATGATATACCCTTTTGGATAAAAAAAGAAAAAAATATCAACAGCAACAACATTAACAAGAGTACTAACCAAGAATGTTTAAAAAAAAACTGAAGTTTTTAGAGTTTCTTTTATTGCTTTATTTTGTTTGGCTATAGGATTTGCATTAATATTTGTTGTCTTTTGGACACGTTAAGTTGACTTAAACATGTGGAAGCAAAACTTTGATGAAAGACAGTCTGATGGAAGATTAGCCAAAATGGAGTGTGGGACCTTGCGACTTTTACACAATGGAGAATTTTCTATTAATCTTTCTTTGTTGATTGAAGCAGCAGTAAATGCTTGTATTAGAGTAGATTGTCTACTTCATTATTATATAAGGTGCAATATTTTTTCGGACCCTTGGTGAACACAAGATACTTTGTACATTGAATTACCCTTTATCTGCCTTGCATTTATTAAAGTTCAAAGATAATTTTTTTACTGTGTCCAAAATTAACTGACACGATTATTTCAAATTCACATTATATTATATAAAAGTATGCAAGAAAGGTAAAACGTTTCTTATAACATGAAACATCCTATTAAAAATAGAAGCTTCTCAACTATCCTATCACACCTTTTGATGGTGAGTTTTAAAGCACGACTTATTAAAAAAGAGACATTTCAAGTCTTTCCTTCCACATAAAAGTTGATCCCAAAAAGTACCGAGGAAAAATGAGTATCTTCATTTAAAAGTTGAAAAAGACGCTTTACATAAGCCTTTTTCACTTTTGGCTCGTCTTGGTATAATATTTTTATTATCACAGTAGGCAGGGCTGTTTTTAAGAAATTAGACTGGTGTGTCCTCTATTTCAGTTTTGCAGTTTTATTTTTTGGAATAAAAATACCCTGAATTGTCTTGAAACAATTTATTTTTTTTAAAATTTCAGGACAAAATAAGTGTTGGCTAATCTCTAAATTGCATTCTTGAGAATGACTATTTGTGCACTTGTCCCATATTTTTATCGGGGAAATGGGCCAAGAATTAAATTCTTATTTTTGTTCTTTTTGGATGAAGCATGCCATATTGGACAAGATTTGAGAAATCAAATAATCTACTCAAAGATCCCCTAAAATGAGCCCAAATTCTTGCACGCTTGTAGCTTTGTTTCCACCGGCTTCAAAGGAGAACAATAGACAACAGTACCTGCTCTCTACCAAAATTCATAAAAAACGAGATTATAAAAATAATAGCTTACATATCAACAAATAAGACTATACAAAGACTGAATTTTTCAGTTGAAAAGTATGATCTTGATATCAAATCTCTTCAACTATATACTCTTTTTCAGTAATTTGTACAACAGGAAAGCCTTGTTCACTATAATTCAGCCCAAATCCAGGGTATCCACAATAAGATTCCTGCTCATCTTGATTCTTGAATATAAAATGAAAAACTTATGTTTGGACCATGATGGCCAGCCTTGGCGAGTAAAGTTGCTGCCATGTGACTACTAGGTTACGGGTTCAAGCTGTGGATACAACCTCTTGCAGAAATACAGGGTAAGGCTGCATACATAGATAAACCCTTGTGGTCTGGTCCTTTTTCGAACCTCACGCTGCCGCATATTACGGAAACTTAATGCACCGAGCTGCACTTTTTATGTTTGGATCATATCTGTGATTTATAAGCTGGGTCAACAACAAAACTTGTGTCTAGTTGGAGGATAAAGGAGAACATACAAAGGTGTCATGATGCTGTCTAAGATATACTCCCTCTGTTTCAATTTATGTGAACATGTTTGACTGAGCACGGAGTTTAAGAAAAAAATGAAGACTTTTAGAATTTGTGGTCCTAAACTGTCACGACCCAAATACCTAACCAGTCGTGATGGTGCCTATCATGGAACTAGGCAAGCCGACATTCTCAATATGCTTTCAATATATAACAGAAGTGAGCTAAAGCAATTAAACTAACTGAAGGTTTACATAATAACGGGGTAAAAACCCAAAACACAAGTGCGAAATAATAGCCTGACATCGGGGTATCACTAAGTCATGAGCATCTAACAACCAATCTAGAAACAGAGTCTACTACAGTCTGTGCCAAATGCTAATACAAGAGAGAAAAGATAATAAGAAAAGGAGAAACAAGGACTGCAGATGCCGGCAGCTACCTCGTAAGTCTCCGATAATCAGCTCGCGCACGAACTCAGCGACCGCCAGAACCATACACACCTGGATCTACACATGAAGTGCAGGATGTAGCAT